TTGTTTTTGCTGGTTGTGTTGCTGGTCGTGATGAATGGATACTTGATTCTGCATGCTCGTTTCATATATGCTCTAACAGAGATTGGTTCAGTTCTTACGAGTCTGTGTAGAGTAGAGATGTTGTGCGTATGGGAGATAACAACCCACGTGAGATCGTGGGCATTGGCTCCGTTCAGATCAAGATGCATGATGGAATGATACGCACACTGAAAGATGTGAGACACATACTAGGGATGGCTAGAAATCTCATCTCCCTCAGCACACTTGATGCCGAGGGGAACAAACACTCCGGTTCAGGTGGAGTGTGTAAGGTATCAAAAGGCTCTCTCATTCATATGATAGGTGATATGAATTATGTAAAGTTATATGTTCTTAGAGGAAGTACTTTACATGGTTCCATCACTGCTGCTACTGTTTCTAATGATGAACCAAGTAAGACTAATCTCTGGCATATGCGTCTTGGGCATATGAGTGAACTTGGTATGGCAGAATTGATCAAGAGAGATCTGCTGGATGACTGTATTGTGGGTAAGATGAAGTTATGTGAGCACTGTATTTTTGGTAAGCACAAGAGGGTAAAATTCAATGCATCTGTTCATATCACCAAAGGTACACTTGATTATGTACATGCTGATTTGTGGGGGCCGTCTCGTAAGCCCTCTTATGGTGGTGCTCGTTACATGCTTACCATTATTGATGATTACTCTAGAAAAGTGTGGTCTTATTTTCTGAAAAATAAAGATGATACTTTTGCTGCTTTTAAAGAATGGAAAGTTATGATAGAAAGGCAAACTGAAAAGAAGGTAAAATTGCTTCGTACTGACAATGGCGGTGAATTCTGTCCGGATGCTTTTAATGATTACTGCAGTGAAGAAGGCATTGTCAGGCACCACACCATCCCGTACACTCCTCAGCAAAATGGTGTGGCTGAGTGCATGAACCGAACCATTATCTCGAGGGCTCGTTGCATGCTGTCCAATGCTTGTATGAACAGGCATTTTTGGGCTGAGACTGCTAACACCGCCTGTTACTTGATCAATAGGTCACCTTCTATCCCACTTAATAAGAAAACTCTCATTGAGGTATGATCTAGTATGCCTGCTGATTATTCACAGTTGAGAGTTTTTGGTTGCACTGCTTATGCTCATGTTGATAATGGAAAGCTAGAACCTAGAGCCATTAAGTGTCTGTTTCTTGGTTATGGTTCTGGAGTTAAAGGATATAAGTTATGGAATCCTAAAACTAAAAAGACTTTCATGAGCAGGAGCATTGTTTTCAATGAATCTGTTATGTTTAATGATAGCTTGTCTACAGATGTTTCTCTAGTTGGTTTTGATGAGGAGCAGCAACATGTTAGCATGCAGGTGGAGCACGTAGATGATCAGAAAACTGAAATTGTTGATAACAATGTTCATGATATTGTTCAGCACTCACCTCCTGTTTTGCAGCATCAAAATCAGTCTATTGCAGATCGCAGAACAAATAGAAATTGTGGACCTCGTCCACGTTTAATTGAGGAATGTGATATGGTTCATTATGCTTTTAGTTGTGCTGAACAGGTGGAGAACATTCATGAGTCGGCTACGTACACTAAAGCTGTTGTTTCTGGTGACCGCGAGAAGTGGATTTCTGCCATGCAAGAGGAGATGCAGTCACTCGAGAAAAATGGCACATGGGATGTTGTGCGCTTGCCTAAACAAAAGAAGGTCATTCGTTGTAAATGGATCTTCAAGAGAAAGGAGGGTTTGTCTCCTAGTGAGCCTCCAAGATTTAAGACAAGGTTAGTAGCAAAAGGCTTCAGTCAGATTTCTGGTGTTGATTATAATGATGTGTTCTCTCCAGTTGTAAAGTATAGTTCAATTCGTACATTTTTCGGTATTGTTGTTATGCGAGATCTTGAGCTTGAGCAGTTAGATATAAAGACTGTGTTTTTACATGGAGAGCTCGAGGAGGAGATATACATGGACCAGTCAGAAGGGTTCATAGTAACTGGTAAGGAGGATCATGTTTGCAAATTAAAGAGGTTCTTATATGGTTTGAAACAGTCTCCTCGTCAATGGTATAAAAGGTTTGATTCTTTTATGATGTCATATGGTTTTAAGAGGTCTGAATTTGATAGCTGTGTGTACATATGCATATGTTAATGAATTGCCTGGAGTCTATTTACCTTGATATTGATTATCCTGTCCTTGTTTACATATGGGTTTTGCACGTGGGTAGTATGCTTAGCTTCAACTAATATTGAGTAAAGAATACAATTAAAGATATATGCAACATGGTATTAAAAGATGCCTTTTAGCAACATGGAACCAAGAGGGCTAGAGCATTGGGCCTTTTTCTTATGGTGCTCTAGTTTTTTTTCCATAAGAACTCATCTTTAAATGGCAACCCAGGACTTATAGTATAACTATGAGGACCACATGGCTCTGGTCTTAGTCCAGTACTTTGCTCTTTCTAGTTTGTAGCAGCTTACCGAAAGGGCAAGAGGGGCATACCAGGTTGGGTATGGGCCTCATCCCCAGGGTGTGTACTGTGCTGCGAGTATTAGTGTAATTCTTGGAGATGACTCCATAACACTTGGGAGATGGAATCCTTAGCGGTTGCTCCTTATTAGAACGACTGGGAAAAAGCTTCGTAGTGTACCCTGCCTGCTCACCTTGGAAGTGTTTTGAAAGTAATTAACCCGGTCATATGGGCAACACGACTCATGGTGAAAGTGTACAATCTCTGTAGAGTGTAAAACTGGTATATCAGCCGTGCTCACGGATACGAGCGGTCTGGATCCTTACCAAATAGTTGGTTACTTGGATGGTTTGGGCTATGATTAAAATTGCTGATATCTCTAATTATTCATATTCGGGAGTCTAAGCATAACTTAGCAACTTATGATTAATAATAAAATATAATCAACTAAAAGTGCTTACTGCAGTTCAGCCGTGTAAACTTTTTGAGCCTGTATCTCCTCGTATTATGCCTGCCAAGCAGTAATAGCTTACGCTTGTTTAGGTTGATGCGACCTACTCTGCAGTTTTCATCGAACTTCCATTCCCACTATCATTACCTTAAATTATAAATGTGAATACGAAATCCAGCTTGCACTGAATCATCATTTAAACTCTTACGGCTTGTTTCAGTGGGTTCATTGATTTATCATATATCACAATGTGCTCGACTGGTCGACTACTGCTACTTCATATTCTCCCATGGAAGAAGAATACATGGAAAACTGATGTCCACTCTGACCTGTACATGGAAGAATAATAACTATACATTTTCCCTCTTCTCCTTTGTTTGAATCAGGGTTTAGTTGTGTTGGGATTGGCCATTGGCTCCTCTGGTTGCTGTTTTTTTTTAATCTTTTGAATGTACAGCAAGAGATCTTTTTTTTTAATGTGCAGCAGGAGGGAAAAAAATCTCTTGCTGTACATTAAAAAAAATTCTCTCTTACATGATGCATGCACTCCACGCGTCTTTGAAAATGGATGTACTCTCAGGCGAATAATTAATGGATGGATATAGGTTGTCCATATCATAGGGCTTCATTTTTTTAAACAGAGTACAAAACGCACATGTTTACATACACAGCATCCATGCACCTCTAATAGAATGAAAGCAAGTACGCACGTCCTATATCCTATGATCATCTATGAAAGATAAGACCGGCAGATGAAGATGTCTTGTTGCCATCGCCTATTGTTCAAAAAAATAGTGTCATTTATTCCTAAAATCTAAGAAAATGTGAGCATCTGTGCTAAGTTGATGAATCAAACCCGGATGGGGATGTTCCATAAAAAAACCTGATCAATCAGGCTACAGTCTATTCGCTCATAGGCTTTCACATCATTTCAAATAAGTTCTTCATATAAACTACTATGTTGTTTTCACCGGCATTCATATTGGTGATTTGACCGTCCTTGTTCCGAAATGTGTATATGAATTCTGATAACTATTCACGAAACCCCAGACTTTGTGGTTGAACAATCGGCACTGAATCATCAGTGAACTCTTACAACTTATTTGGATGGGCTCGTTGGTTTCTCCGACTGCGGGTCTCCATGGAACACATGATTCTCAAAACGGAGAAATGGGAAAAATATAGGATTTGAGTTGCATGAAACTTGCAGTCCTGTAGAAATTCAAAATGCAGAAAATTTTATAACATAGCCTTTGGGTACAACATAGGAAAAACACAGGAATTGAAAGAGGGAGACGGAAAATTTTTCTTAAGGTCCAACCTCGTGTTAGTTTTCCTCAAAATTCCTACTTATTCATACTTCCCATGAAAATCCTAAGGAATTTCATAGGGTGCAATACATTATTCTAAAGGGGCACACATGAAATTTTTCTATAAAATTGAAATTCTTCAAAATTCCTTTGATTTTCCTTGTTCCAAATGGAGCTTACATCATCAACCATAAGAAATGAGCTCAACTGGTCGATTACGTCCTGGTCTTTGTTCTCACTATCAAGATTAAGACAAAATTACTCTGAAACTTTTCCTTGGAGCAGAATGTGAGTTTTTAATGAAAAGAAAACGTACCTCCGCGCCAGCAGCGTGTGTGCCAAAGTAGTGGTCAAGGACTCAAAGGTTGTTCCTCGCAAAGGGAAAAAAAGAAAGATTCAAGGCCTGTTCGTTGGTTGGTGCTGATGTTGGTTTGCGCTGGCTGGTGCTGTTTTTTTTTAGGAAAAGCAGGCTGGTTTGGGTTGGCTGGCTGATTTGGGCTGGCTGTTCGCTTATTGATTTCAGCCAGCCCAAACCAGTCAGCCAACAGTGTTTTCCTCTAAAAAAGCCAGCACAGCCAGTCCAAACCAGCACCCACCAACGAAGTTGTTGCCGCCAGGCTCACTGCTATGTAGCAGTCAACGGTCAAAGTCGTCGTCCACGCGCTCCATTTGCTAACAATACCACTCAAGGTTGTATGCGCCATCAAGATCTACCTAGGCTCTGCAAACCTGTAGTAGGCTATAGCTGCTGCTCCACCACTCACCAGTCGCCCACCATGAAGAATTCCTCCATACTTTCGCTCTTCGTCCTCGTTGCCACTGCGCCGCTCGCCGCCGCCGCCGTGTGGTCTAGCGTATCATGCGGCAGCGACAGCAGCTACACGGCCAACAGCACCTACGAAGCCAACCTCCACCACCTGGCGGCCGTCGTCCCGGCCGAGGCAGCCGCCGCACACCGCCTTGACATGTACCATATCTTCGGGTTCGGGTACTGGCCCAACCGGTTGCAGGCGGACTGGAGCTGCCAGAGCAGCGGCAGCGACTGCGCCGCCTGCATCGCTGACGCCTTCAAGCAGGTGGAGCTCGAGTGCCCGTTCCACAGGGAGGCCTTCTTCTTCGGTGGCAACTGCACTCTCCGTCTTACCGAGTTCCGTATTCTCGACGACGACGTCTTCGGTACGTTAGCCATCATCTCTTATCTCGCTACTGAGAAAAGAAAACAATTTTAATCATTTTTTTAAAAGAATTGTGTTTTACAAAATATTAGCCTTTCTATTAGTGACGAATTAGCCACAAGATAGAAGGTATTGACATAATAAAGAATCAGTTGCCTGACAATAAGCCGTTCCAGATTCTCACACATATTCAGCTTACTATTAGTGACGGATTTTCTTCCCTGATTAGTAATCGTGTTAGCCAGTGCCATAAGGATATCATCAATATCAAGTATTCTGTAACATATATATATATATATATATATATATATATATATATATATATATATACATGGCCAAATTCGTTTAATTAGTGAAGTCAATGCACCGATTCTTGCTTGTCAAGTTTATAGCAACTGAATGGTCAACAATTGTGTTTTTTGTAAAAATTGATGACACACATGGTAACACATTGCTATAAGTTCGTGAAAAATTTCGCCTTGTATAACATAATATTAGGTTAAAGTTTCTGAACTCTTACAGAAAGAAAAGGGCAAATGTGCAATTTAAAAGAATAAATTACCAAACTTTTATTCAAATATACCATGATGGCATTTATTCCTTTCCTTCCATGGGCCTAAATTTTATCGATATTTATGTTTAGACATTTTAACTCATTTATTCAAGAAATATTGTTTATATACTTAACATCAGGTTTTCTGCATCACATTTCAGCGATGAACCCTCTGGCTATGGGGATGATATTTCAAGCATTTGGGCTTGCATGTCTTTTCCTCTTGTTTCTAAGGGCTTGGCGGCATGATATTAAAAAAGGCACCATCACGTAAGGAACCGTTTGACTGTATAAAATCCAAACAAAATTTCTAGGAAACTCCTGCCAACATGTTAAAAACCTTGGGCTAACAATACATAACATGTTTAGTGATTTCAAACTCTCAGAATTATTGTTCAAATATTTTTAATTTTTGTGGGTCTAACTATTATATTCTTAAAAGATTATCTTCATTCTATAGCATGGAACCATATAAATTCCTCATTTCCTCTTACATAATGAAGGCACCACACCCCTCTATCTGGAGATCAATAGATGAGCTGCTTGGCTACAGGTTTGTGCATCAGCGGTCAGCACCTACTGTCAAGGAAAAGAATACCGAGGCACAATAGCAAATGAAATGAATGAATGCGTATATAGTATTCTCGTAGGCAAATAATGAAACAATATTGATTCTTCAGCGAAGGACTTTAGTTTGATCCTTTTAAACAAGCAGCAATCTTCATTGCACCTAATAATCTGTTATTTTCATGAAGATTTCTTATTGGCCGTCCCACAGTCCATATCTCAAAATATATATGCAACTCCAAGGTGAAGATATTCAGTGCTCAGCACTGAATCATCAAAATCATCAAATGAGTGGGATCATTGATTTCTCTCCCTAGTCCCTACGTCAAACACACTTAAAATGATATGCACAGTTCTTAAGCACTTCCACTTCTTATTTTAACTCTCCAGATTAAAATAGAATTGCTTTGCTTTTTCCGTTGAAATAGAATGCTGAGTTAAAGAAGAAAAAAAACATACCTGCGGTGCTAGCAGTAGCAGCATGTCAAGCAGGAGCCGATGCGATCAAGGCTGGTGCTGACCTGCTCCACGCCTCCACCACTGTCCAGACACCAGAGCAATCAAACTCAACAAGTCACCCACCCTTATTCTAGAAAAATGTGTGACTAATCCTTATAATTTTACTCGCTCGGCTCCCCGGCACTGAGGCCAAACTCCAAAGTAAAGCACAAACACCTCAGAACCATGCGGTATCTCCCCCTCTTATTCCTCATTGTCTTGCCTCTTGCTGCCAATGCCCACCTCCGGGACGTTGTCTGCCTCGGCCAACATGACCGCACATCGATAAACAGAAACTATTTAGCCAGCATCCACCGCTTAGCAGCCATGGTTCAATCCAAAACGTCTTCCTTGCCCGGCCTCTCCACTGATCATGAGGTCGGGGAATACCCTGACACTGTGTACGCCTTCTCACGGTGCCACAACGGCACGGACTCCACATCATGCAGAGCCTGCATCATCTTGGCCCTGCAAGAAGCGCGACGAGCATGCCTGGACCACAAGGAGTCTGTGTTCTTCAACGGCAACTGCTCTCTTCGACTCTGTGGTGTCCATTTCTACCTAAACAACATGGATGATGCGATTGTATTTACTGCCACAGAAAGTGAGTTCTTTCTTCCTGTTTTCCCCTTATGCAGTCCATACTTCTTGGAGCTACTTTCACTGCAACATGTGTTAATACTTGCTAGTTCCTGTTCTCAATCAACGGAAGAAAATTAGACCAGAATGCTAGTTTGTAAAAGTTTGTAGCTCCATAGTACTCAGGGATATGTCTTGTAGTGCAGATAAACATGGAGCTCCTTTTTATTATAAAATAACAGGGGCTGAACAGTAAAATGAGGTCAAGAAAGGTCTTAAGTAAGCAAATATCATAAGATAAAAAGCCCAGAAATACATGGTACAAATTTGCCGCATGACACTGCATGTTGATGGCATTTACCATTTCACACCAAAACTTCAATAAGTAGCCGTGCACCACCAAAAAATCATAATCTTTGCCACAAGACACCACAAGCATTAGAATTGTTTCATTTGATTTCAGGCGAGAGAAAATATTGTAATCGACACTTCCTTGTTAGCAACTGCAGCCTTGGTAGCATCAACATCCTTGTTAGCATCTGCAGCTTTGTTAGTATCAAATCCTTGGTAGCATCTGCAGGCTTGGTAGCATCAACATCCTTGTTAGCATCTGCTTCTTTGAAGCATAGCTGTCTCAATCATAATATCATAGAGAGGGAGCCTCCTAACTTCCCATTACAAGTCAAGAAAAACCATAAGCCTCAGTTGTTAGCTCAGCAAAAGATGGTCTCTCTGAAGGATGAAAGATGGAATTTGAGAATCTGATGGCAAATATATAGTTAATTTCCCTGGCAGGAGGAAGGAGACGAGGGAAGAGGCCAAAGGAGGGAACAAGTGGCTTTGGTTAGTGAGGTGCAGCTTATGCCAAGGGCATAAGTGTCATTTAAAGTATTTTCTCTAACTGAAATCACAGATAATATATTCTAACGGCTGCGGTGTGCCGTAGCTAATGGTAGACTATATTTGGTAGTATAGGAAATATCTCGGGAGGCTTCTTGCCCCCCTATATATTCGCCCTTGAGGCTCAGTGCAATACAATCCACGCATTATACACAATCTTATGGCTAAGGTTCACCAATTTGTAATTACGCTTGTCAAATTATTGAAAGTTTGGCGTGAAATAGCAAATTCCAGCAAAGTTCATTGTTCTGTGACAAATTTTGTCTACATAAAAACACTAAGCAAAGGGAGCAAATAAAGACCATATTGAGAAGTAAAATGCATACTCTTGACGCCCTGTTCGCTTGGAGGAATTTAGAGGAATCTGGAGGAATTTGTGAGAGCGTGAACAGTGAAAACCATCCGTGAACAGTGAAACCCGGCTGGTTTTCACACCAGCCGAACGGCCCCTAAGGGCAAGGAAGTCCGAGAGGTGCTCAACAAATGTCTTCGAGAAGCTTGAAAACCAGAGCCCTGATCAAGCAGGGGGTCTTGCTTGAACATTCCATCAATGTACATTCTAGTACAGGCACAAGAATCTTGAACCATATTTGCTGGATCGCTTCAGTTGAACATGCTGAAAAAGGGTGCCTCATAGAGACTTATTGAATTTAGAGACATTTGAAGAATAAGCCTTTTACATTCCATCTACTGAAAACTTGTTGCCATATTTGCTTATAGAACTGTTTGACAAATTGTTTCAAATTTAGTATTATCTACCAAATGAGTGGGCTATTCTGATGAAGCTTGCCAAGATACAACAATAACAACAACATAGCCTTTAAGAAGCTTGCCAAGATAAAATACTTAAAAACGAGTGATGATCTGTGAACTTGTAACTCTAATTCCTTTCTCTACTGTCAAATTAGGAACGATAAGCCTGTGTTTAGTTAATCACCTAATGCTGCCTCCGTCATCCCTGTACCCTGGAAATTGCTACTCATAAATCTCTATACTCGAGCAATTCCCTGACCCTCCACAAACCCACATATCCATGGAGTGTGATGGTGTACTTCCTCATTCCAGTATTGTAGGCAGTACATGCCTCAGATACTATTGTCTGTATGACTGTATCTCCAGATGATTACCCACAAACGTATTCTGAAGGGATGATAATGTTAAATGGCCAGCCACTCATAAATTCAAGTAATTGACATGATAATGTAATAATCAACAATGGCCGTATGCATTGCATGGTGCAAAAGCTCGAAATTTTATCCTTTTTCTAAAAACTCGTAAATTCAAGTTTTCCTTTTTCTTTTCAATTCAGAAGGAAATGTTGTGATGAGGAATTTGTCCTTGGCTATGGTATTTCAAGCAATTAGATTCGCATGGCTTTTATTCTTGCTTCTGCAGGACTGCCGTGAAAAGAAAACAGGCTCTCCTATGTAAGTTTCTGAACAATACAAGGTATACATTGGTTAAACTACCTAACAATGTGGAACCGACTATAGATTGTGAGGTGCAATATTGTGTGTTCAAATTATTTAAAATTAACTATATTTTAATAATCATTCTTTCAATGGCGAGCTACAGTGTTCAGCAGGTTCAGAACTCGTCGGCCGCGTGGCGCCACCCGTCGCCGGCCGTCTGACGGCGCTGGCCACGCGCCGCGGCCGTTTTGGCGTCGCAGGCCATGACTTAAACACCCCACGCGCCTGCCCGACCCGCTCGCAGTCCATTTCGCATTCTCTTTCGCCTCCACCGCGCGCAGCAGCAGAGCATCCGCCGGCTCCGCCATTGCCGAGCAGCTCCGCCGTCGCTTAGCTCCGTCGCCGCCGCAAAAACGCGACTGTCAGCTTGACCACAGCTCCGCCGTGACCTCACCTACCTCGTCGACCGTCTAGCCGAGCCCTCCATGCCCTAGGTGAGAGCCAGTGACCGTTTTTCCGCCGCCGTCGCCATGGCCGCGCCTCGC